TGATATATGGTTTGCCGAATTTAGGGGAACAAGCTGACGTATAACTAACTGGCCTGCATAAGATAACGAAGAAAACCCCCCCACAGATTTTAAGGCAGGATTTATCATCTGATAAAGAGTACATTTATATACATGTTTAAGCCAGAATGATTTGACATTTAAACATGACTTCTCTACGACTTTAATTGTGACTTATACCAATAGCTAAAACTCACATATGATCTGGATAAGTACCTAGCTTTAATGAATTGTTCCTTGGCATGAGAGGCACTTTTGGTACCAATTTCCTTAAAATCCTTTCATAAATTGATGAATAAGGCACATAGTGTGTCTGTAGCTTCTGGTGTTTGTTCTGGTCACACCTTCTTTATTAACTCTGCACTCTGCTTTCTTGTCTAATCAGCAGATCAAGACTTTGAGTGAGGCATTGCTCAACTTCCCTGTTTTTTTGTCTTCATTATAGACTTTTTTTAGTCCGATGCTGGAGCTGTCAATAGTCACTGCTGCCAATCTTGGGTTTGGGGGGTTAATAACTCTGCTGAATTAATAAAGCAAGCTATTAACATTTACTAATGGTAAAGACATCTTGAATTTAAACAGCCGGTTGAAGACGTCAAGCCATAAAGCTGAGAGGTTAATAACACCTGGTAATTGAGAAATGTATCAGTTATAATCATTTAATTGAAGATAATTACTTGGTTTTACCCATGATTTTATTGACAACTATAACCTCCATAAATAAGATATTAATAATCTGCTGGTGAAATTGCACAACATTATTGGCGTCCCTTGGTGGGCCTCTAAAAATGACAAAGGTCACTGTTTATAAATAACACATTTAAGACTTTTTAGGGCACCTTGTCAAAAAGCTGCTACTCAAGAAAATCTAGCTACAACACAATCCTACTTGATTAACCTTTGTGTTTTAATAATTGCAGCTGCTAAGTGAAGTTGGTTTGAAATAATTTAACTGTTAAAAATGTTACCGTCATCAAAATCTATGTACTGGTTAATAAACTGCAGCTGGTTATTGTCTTTATTGTTTCCCTTTAAAGAGCCTCCTTTAAAACGTTTCAGTGCAGGTAGTTGTTCACAGATTTCTTAGGTTCAGAAACCTGATCTCCTTCTTGGGGCTGAAGTGTGTAGTTACTCGTGCAAAGTTTAATATCCTTCAGACGCCGGTGGCGGAGGTACGTAAGTGCAACCACATTTAATTTCCCCATTTAGAGGCACTCTGCCCCCTCATGATGGCTCTTTGAATTACAAACAATTTCACTTTTCTTTTAATCTTTTACGTTGCCCCTTTTCTGTATTTTTTGATAATCAGTTTAAAGAACAACTTATAGAGTGGTTAATTAAAACCATAGGTTTGAAACCGCAGTAAAATTTAAAAAGTTGGAGAGCTGTTAAATATTTATGGGTTAACATTTTGACTCACATACACATTTTGTCACATTCTGCTAATAGTATTTCATGAATTAAGCAATTCTGAGTCCAAAGAGGTGTCAGTTTCATATTGATGGTTAACTAAATATATCTAACTGAAACTTCCATTTCTAGTTAATATATTCATAATTTGCTAGTAAAATTGCACATTACTTAACTCTGTCATGATCTTTTTCAGTGATCTGACCCACATGCAGGAAACCAATCAGAGAGAAACAGGGGAAGGTTTAACAGGTTTATTGAAAACAAGTTGGGATGGGTCCAGTGCTGCTCTGAACGCTGGCAAACCAGGACTGAAAAGTGAAAAGGGAAGTTTCTGTGATTACTTCAGGCTCAGTGGGAAATTTGAGCTTCGATTTGCAAAAGGCAGAAAAAGCAACTGGACTCACGTTTCCAGAAAAGGTGTCTTTCCCTGAATCAGGTCGGTGTGGGTTGTTCCAGAAATTGGTTGGCTCGTTGGAGGGCGGACATGGTTTACCCAGGTTAAGTTGATTCCTTGAGGAGCGGAGGAGCTGACTGCCACTTAGATTTCCTTTGGTACTTGAACAGTTCTTGTGGAGATGAATCCCCTGCTCAGTGTGAAGCTCAAACAATCCTTTCGGGGGGGGAAAAGGTCCAAAACATCCAGTTTGCAGGATGACTTCCTGCTGAGAGGCAAAGACAAAACAACAAGGTTAGGATTCAGGTAGACAAAAACTCAGGTTGACTCAGCAAAACTCAGCTTGGCTAGAGTACCCAAAACTGGCAAACACTCTGACGTCGAGGTAGTGGCAGTCAGCAGCTTAAGAGTCCTCAGGTAATGAGGTAACCATCCGCAGGTGTGTGAAAGGGCCAACGAGAACCGGATGCCACCTGGTGATGGAGGGAGAAAACACAAAAAACACAACCCACACAAACTGGACTCCTAATAAGCTCTCTGTTTATCTGTAACACTAAGGCATCAGCTGGGCCTCGGCAGTCAATCACTGAATTTTATACAACTCACCGTTTGCTGTGACAAAATGTATGTGGACTTTTTCATCTTCTTGACTCAAAAACCTACCCAGAGCTCATTTGCTTAAGTAGTCCTTTCCTAGACAACGTCATCACCTCAGTGTCCCTGAGGTGGTGAGATTAGAACCGAGGCTCAAACCTGGAAAATCTATCCACATATCCAGCAGGTCACTCTTTCTCTGCATCTGTTTAGAGAAAATGCTGAACTAGTCCCCTCCATCTATTGCCAATAACATTTTTTAAAAATGTTTTTCTGTTTGTTTTGTTTGTCTTTGAGACAACACATCTGTGTGAGTATATTGGGTGGAAATAAAATAATGGGAAAGCTCTGAGAAGTACATAGAAATCCAACACATAAAGAAATGCTTGATTATGAAGCTATAGATCCTAGCGGTTTTTCAATTTACATTTATTTTCAAATAGGAGCTTGTAATACAAATTTTACATTCATATATATTATCAAAGCTAAGAAATACAATGAAACAAGAAAACCAGCAC